TAAATTTACTTACCTCGTCATTGGTCATTTGCAAAATTATTTTGTTAAAACAGATTCTGATTGCACACATAAGTACTCTGAAGTTGACATCAAGAAGAGACTTGAGTTTCTGATTGACAATATCTATGTGGGTTTTGGAGACCAGGTATTCCAACAATCTATTGGAATTCCCATGGGTACAAATTGCGCTCCGTCATTAGCAGACTTATTTTTATATTCATATGAAGCAGAAGTTATGCAAAATCTTATGCGTGAAAAGAAGAAAACACTTGCTGTGGCCTTCAACTCGACATTTAGATATGTCGACGACGTATTGTCAATTAATAATGGTAGTTTCCATTCCTTTGTCGATACGATGTATCCTGGTGAGCTTGAGATAAAAGATACTGCAGAGTCCGAAACTTCTGTTTCATACTTGGATATTTTACTTGAAAAAGACACTAATGGTAATCTAACAACCATGCTATATGATAAACGTGATGACTTTAACTTTTCTATCGTCGATTTCCCTTACTTATGCAGCAATATACCTTCATCACCTGTATACGGAGTATATATATCTCATTTGATTCGATACGCAAGAGCATGCTCTACGTATGAACAATTTCTAAAACGAGGTAAATTATTGACAAGCAAGTTGATGAAACAAGAATATCAGCAGTCGCGTTTAAAGTCATCATTTCGTAAGTTCTATGGTCGATACAATGACCTTGTCAGCAAATACAATTTATCACTGAGTCAAATGCTAACTGACGTTTTTCATACCAATTGTTAGTCCATTATTTATACACTGAATTGACGACGGATTTTTCCCCCCGTTTTTTCCTGATCATGACAAGGAGCACACGGCGGGTGTGACCGGTCGGCAGGGGATGCTCACTCCTCCATGGCACCTGATCCCACCTCTGATGTTTCGGGGGTTCCTGTTTGCTCTGCTCTTATTTTGTATTGTTTTATTGACTTTGAGACTGAATACTGTTCGTTATCTCCATATCTTTCCATGAATACATAGGGAAAACCTTAAAAATCTTTTTATCAAGAACAGCAAAGCCATGCTTGGTCATAGTTATATGGAAGCATCCTCAGGTAGTGTAGATTCAAAATTGCTCAAATCATGATCCCGAGGGTAGGATGATGCCACAATGGGGATCAAAGTTTTACATAGGAATACACAGGAAAAATCTTTAAAAAAATCTCAAAAACACCAAATCCATGATTGGTCATAGTTATATGAAAGCATCCTCTGGTAGTGTTCAAGTTTGTTCAAATCATGACCCTAAGGGATTGGGTGGGGCCACAATGGGGTAAAGATTTTCTTCTAAAGAACAGCAAAGCCAAGACTGGTCATAGTTATGTTGAAGCATTCCATTGTAGTGTAGATTCAATTTTGTTCAAATTATGACTCCTTTAGAAGTAAAATTGAACATTAAATTTCACAGGTTGTACTAAATAATATTTTTATCTTAAATATCTACTACACAAACCGTTCTTTAAAAAGACAGTAATAGAAAATGTACATGTTGCTATGGTCTGAAGTTTATAATAAGTAAACTATTCAATGAATAGACGGTAATTCATTTACGTAAAGCATGTTCCAGGATTGTCCGTAATTTTACTTAGGTAATATAGATTCAAGTTTTGTACAAATCATACCCCAGGGGGTACGGTGGGGGTCACGATGAGTAATTTGTAAAGTTTTACGAAAGTATGCATATTAAAATACTTTTAAAATTCTTGTTCTTAGGAACAGCAAAGGATAAATTAGTCAAATTTCTATGATACATCCTCAAAATCTTATGCGTGAAAAGAAGAAAACAATTAACAATGGTAATTTCCATTCTTATGTCGATACGATATATCCTGGTGTGCTTTAGATAAGGATACCACAGAGTCTGCCACATCTGTTTCATAACTGGATATTTTAATTGAAAAAGACGTTAATGGTAATCTAACAACCAATCTCTATGATAAACGTGATGAGTTTAACTTTTCAATCATCAACCTCCCTTACTTATGCAGCAATATACCTTCATCACCCAGGTGTATAAATCCCAGTTGATTCGATACGCAAAAATATTCTCTAAGTATGAACAATTTCTGAAACGAGGTAAATTATTGAAAAACAAGTTGATGAAACACAAATATCAGCAGTCTCGTTTAAAGTCATCATTTCGTAAGTTCTATGGTCGATACAATGACCCGTCAGCAAATACAATTTATCATTGAGTCAAATGCTGGCTGATTTTATTATACTTATTGTTATTCCATTATTTATACACTAAAATGACGACGGATTGTCCCGTTATTTCCCGATCATGACAAGGAGCACACAGCGGGTGTGACCGGTCAGCATGGGATGCTCACACCTCCATGGCACCTGATCCTAGAGCTGCGGAATAAGGAGTAGATCCTTAGGACGTTACTTAGAAATTAAAAAGGGAAAATATATTTAAAAAAAACATTGCTAAATAAAATTATAAAATTATTTTGACAAGAATTGAATCAAATCAAATAGAAATATTCAAAAAAAAAATCCAAACACCTGAAGTAAAAACTGAACATCTGAAGAAGGAATATTGTGGCATTTAAGTCCATTAAAGGGGGCTTACGATGAACAACAAAGTCTTTGACACAATAAATACTAAAATACGATATAATATTTTGATATACAAATGATATATATAAAACCATTTATTTTAACAAAAACGTCATTGTTCACGAACTTTTTGGACAACCCTCGTGCACTTAAACAAAGAATGTTTATGAATAAAATTTTATAATAAAAAAAATTAATATCTAGATAAGGATCTTATTAAAATTACGGTATTTAAGATAATGCCTTTCTCATATTTTTATTTCATATTTTACAGAATGTATCTGTCCAGGTTATTTACCACTGCCTCCTGGTATGTAAAATCTTTGTTGAAAATCTTATTTCTTTGAAGTTTCTGCGATATTAACTAGTTGCTACATTTTCTCTTCTAAAAATATTTTTATTGTTTCCTAAACTTTTTGATATTTCTCTATGAATTTTACCATTCTGACACAAATATGAAATTTTACGACTTAAAGCTCAGTAATATATTGAAAGATACTAGAAGGTGTGAGTAAAACCCAGAAAAATCTGTTTTACAAAAAATACATTTTAAATTCCCATATAATGGTAACTTAGCAACAAAACTTTTATGATTAGAGATAAATGGTAGTGTAGCAATAAAACTGTATTATTAATATAACGTGATGACTTCAACTTTTCCCTTGTTCACTAAGATGGAATTTTTCTAAATTTTATTTAATACAAAACGAGAATAAGTCAAACTTTGCAGTTCTCCACTGGCAAGTGTTAACGTCTCCATATAAGTGAAAAGTCTTAAGAGGGACGTTAAACAACAAACAAGCAAGCATATTCAACTGCTGTGACTTCACAATGTGTTTTGCGTGAAAGTAAATATAAATACCGATTCACATATATAGTACTATTATTGAATAATTTTTAAATGGATGTAAGTATTTCTGTGTATTTATCAAGGGGATTTCTGAATTAGAACAAATTCGGACTCATTTTTTAATTGAAGGAAGTTGTGAAACCTATCCGAAATCCGCACACTCTGGGTATCTTCATGTTCACGGATGTAGGTATTTGATTATAAAGTCTGTAAAAGAGAATCTCACTCTTTTGACATACAATATACATTCGTACACTTTGATCGTAAAATATATTTCCCTGGATATATTTTTAGATTCTTTAGAAGAAAGGTCTTCCCGTGAAAGTTTCCAAGGAGGTACAGTCGTCTTTTGCTTGTATATTCCCTAATGTAACCGCTTTTTGGGTCAACATTCGACATTACTACATTTCATGTGCGAACATGGCCATTGAAACAGTCCTTCAGTTTCAAAATATTGACTATACACAGGATTATTCATTCCATCGTATTTCATTTCATTTTTATTGTCTGCTTTGGTTTAAAAATTATTTTAAATGTGCAGAAATATATCTTGAAGATAGTTCCTAAAACAGAACAATGAAAAGGTACGAATATCGTACAGTGGTAGATCTAGACAAGATGTGTTTGTGAAACACTATGCGCCCGGCGGCAACAAAGTTGGAAAAAAGCTATTTTTAGCATAAATCATAGTCAAGCTCACAAGGTCATTGACATTGGTGCCATTTGAAAGAACTTTATTAATGGAGTATGTATACCAAATATGAAGACACTATCTCATATGGTTCAAAAGTTACGGAAAAAAGGTACGAAAAAGCAACTTTTTTGCATATAGGTCACAGTCAAAATAACAATGTCATTGACTTTGTTGTTATTTGAAAGAGCTTAATTAGTGGAGTACGCCTACCTAATATGAAGTCTCTATCTTTTCTGATTCAAAAGTTATGGCGAAGGTTAAAAATTGAAGACAGGTCACAGTTAAGTTCACAAGGTCATTAACCGCGGTGTTGTTTGAAAGAGCGTAATTTTTGGAGAATGAATACCAAATATGAAGTTTCTATCTTTCAGGTTAAAGTTTGCAGACAAAAAAGATATTTTAGCATATAGGTCACAGTCAGGTCACAAGGTCATTGACCTTGGTATCATTTGAAAGAGTTGAATTAAGGGGAATATTCATACCAAATATGACGTCTCTAACTTTCATGGTTCAAAAGTTATAGTGAATGAAAAATTTAGCAGACAAACAGATAAACAGACAGACAGACAGGAATAAAACAATATACGCCCCGGATCTATCGATCCGGGCGCATAAAAAGGAATCGACAAACTATAAAAATCTCCGAAAATATGGACATCTGATAATTCTAGAGATTGAATTAGGTGCCTAAGAGGAGTAAGCATCCCATAATGGCCAATCATACCTGCTGTGAACCCTATGTAGTGATAGGTAGACGTAGTTACATTTAGTATAAAAACAAAAGCCTTACTTCCTAGTACTTAAAAACTCTCAAGCAATAACAACTCATCTAAAATCAAGTAATCCATTAAGTACCCATGCTTAAAACAAATGTGCTAAGGAGTATTTTTATCCTTTTCTGTTTCACGTTTCGATGTTTTTCTGTTCAAAGAGGTATTAGAGTTATATTCTTTGATTGTAGAATGCACTGAGGAAGATCGTCTTTTCGCTATTCATATAGCAACCTTGAAATTCAAAGAAAAATATCCAAAAGTTGAACAGCTTTGGAATGCTGTGAATTTGTATTCTGCAGAAAAGGAACATGTCATAATTATATATAATGAAAATAATGTCACGATCACAGAAAACTCTATAGATGGCTATAAAATAATTTGTGATACTTCACTGAAGAATGAAGAGTATAATATATCTGAAACTATTAACAGAACATACCAAACTATAAAGTTTAAAAGTGAAAAAATTTGCTCCATTAAAACCATGATCAAGGAACATTCACAGACTCTGTTTAAATGTCATGTTAATCTGTCTGCAATTAGTGCATGTCCATTTAAAATAGAAGGAGGTAACCTAATCCAAAAGTGGTGCATAGTCCTCTACTGTTGTTGTAAAGGATACATTCCTCTCGGAGAGAAAGAATTTCCCTCATCACGTCAAGGGATTCCAGTGGATGTTAGGGAAGGTGTGTTTTCTTTTAGCAGTTTCCATAAATCCAATGATCGTCTACCAACATCTGATGATGGCCATTGGTAAAGAAATAACAGTTGAAAAAACTAGACTCTCTTGTACTGCTGGTACGTTTGTAACATTTACACATAATGGAGAGACAGTAAAAGGAATTCTTACATGTGCACATGTTGCGTTTTCTAAGGAAGAATTGCTTCAAAATGTGGATCTGCCATGCCGCAACTTGCAAGTCATCGACAAACATAAGCTTACAAGCATAGGAGAAGTTTGTGAAGCCAAATTTCAACCTTCACAGAAAGTTGGTATAGATGCAGCACTGGTTAAAATCGATGAAGTATTTCTACCCCAGTATGGCCAGGTCGTTAAGGACAAAGACAATTTCTTGAAGGAAATAGGTATTTTAGATAACTCTTTATTTTCTTTTCTTTCAGAATTTGTTAATGCCATGCATTTACCGAAATCAATCTTTTTTAAATTCTTAAAAATAATTCCTAAAGAACAATTCTTAGTGTATCTAATTTCTTTCCTAAATGTTATTATTTACCAGATTAGATATCTGTGTTTTAATAATATTTTTTTTTAAGGATTTTCAGAGATATCTCCTCCATGTTTCTGCAATGCGCAGGAAGTACTTAAAGATGATTCTGGTAACTATACAACAACGTCAGTTTTCAAATTTGGTGCTTCTTCAGGTTTAACATTAGGAGACATAAGTTTTGATGCAGCAGTTTGTCGCACGAGTAATCTTGGGTTTTCGTTAATGGATAAAGATCCTGTGGTTTTAAACGGACAACTGCATATTTTTCCAAGACATCAGTGTGGCCCAGATTTTTTCACTCATGGGGACTCTGGCGCAATTGTTTTTCAAAAAAATGGAGAGGAGATAGGTGCTGTGGGTCTAGCAATCGGAAAGATTAATTTTGCCTGTGTGGTTACTGATATCCGATCGATTCTTAACGCATTCAAATACGCTGATATGAAACTACTTCAGTTTCAATGTGATGTAGACTCCGGAATATCCATGACTGGACCTTTGAATTCACCCCCAGCATTTTCAGAGTCTCTTCTTACAAAGGTCTCGAACATTAACATCTCGTCAGAAAGTTGCCCACCACAAAGGAAAAGATCTACTGACCATGAACTTATACCAAATAATACCATCAATGTGCAAACTCGCAGTGGGTTGAACATTGAAGCAATAAATAGTCAACTAAAATGGCAGAGAGAACAGGAATGTTTTACAATAACTTCTTCAATACCACCCTCTAGTTCCAGGTTGTCTATAAGAACACCCGATGCAACGAGCATACATTCAGTTCATAATGGCGAGTTCGAACTGCGAACAGAAACTGAAAGTATTCGGGTCATCCACTGTAATTAAATTTTTTGCAATGCCATATCAGTGTTTAATATAAAATCATAAGTAATTTCATATTCATGCAATGTGAATAGTGGAGTTTTATGAAGAGACTTACTTTTAGATTCGACGGCTGACTTTGACATTTTAGTATATGGAGTAAGTCTCTGTTTCAGTTGTAGAAGTCAGTCGTAAATTGTAAAAGTAAGTCACTTCATAAAACGCCAGTGATGCCATAACAAAATTTGTTTGTACAAGATTTTGTAAAAAATAAAATTAAAATAAAGTTACCCCCGGTAGGTATTATTTCAAGATATTTCATAACGAATAAGGAAGGTACCCTTTTTTGTCTGAGAGAAAATACCATAAGTTTAAAAATGTAAAATAATAGTTTAAAGTTTAACGTTAACTGATATGACTACACATACACACTTCCTCAGCGGCTTTTAGCTCACCTGAGCCGAATGTTCAAGTGAGCTTTTCTGATCAAAATTTGTCTGTTGTATGTAGTCGTTTTCTTCGTAATCATCGTTGTCGTCGTTGTCGTTGTTGTCGTAAACTTTTCACATTTTCATCTTCTTCTCAAGAAACCCCAGGCCAATTTCAACCAAACTTGCCACAAAGTAGCCCTAGGTAAAGGGGATTCAAATTTGTTCAAATGAAGGGCCAAGCCCTCTTCCAAGGCGAGATAATTATAAATTTGTGTAAAATTAATGGCATTTATAAAAAAAAAATCTTCTCAAGAACCACTTGTCCAGGAAATTCATGTGGAATCATCCTAAGGTTGTGTATATAGATTCAAGTTTGTTCAAATCAGGACCACCAGGGGTAGGCTCGGTCCACATTGGCCGATCAAAGTTTTACATAGGAATATATTGGAAAAATCTTTAAAAATCTTCCTCTCAAAAACCATTGAGACAGGAAAGATAAAACTTATCCTCAGGTAGTGTAGATTAACATTTGTTCATATCATGACCGCAGGGGATAGGATGGGGCCACGTGCACAATGGCCGATCAAAATCTTACATAGGAATATATAGGAACAATCTTTCAAAATCTTCTTCTCAAGAACCATTTAGACAGGAAAGATGAAACTCATGTGAAATCATCTGCAGGTAGTGTAGATTCAAATTTGTTCAAATCATGACCCCCGGGGTAGGGTGATGCCACAATGACCGATCAAAGTTAAAGATAGGAATATGTACGCAAGTGAGTTAAGGCTAAATATGGATATTTCTATGCAAATGAGCTAATAAAAATTCATAAGTTGTATAGTTCATGTACAGAGAAAGGTCAATTTGATTTCCTAATACATTCTAAGTACCCACAGTTTATTAAAGCAAGTGCACATTATGACGTCATATTATGACGTCATTAATTTCTCCCATTCAAGGTAATGAATCACATCAACAAAATCACGTCGGCGCAAGGGCATATCCTATCTAATTTAAAATAAACAATGTATAATATTAAGGAGAATATTGTTAAAAGTAATAAAATTGCTGCACAAATCCTATTAACTTTCTTAATCGATAAAAATTTTAGGAAACTTTCACTGGACTGTGAATTTTTACCCTGTTTAAACTTAAAACTGCACGAATAGGCAGTCTTGAGTGCAGCAATATCTTAAATCCTTGGAATATCCACCTTGTTTCTTAATCTCAGCGACGTAGGGATGGCCGGTCCACTACGACATCTCAGACAGGTGCCATACAAAGTGATTAGGGATTTTTTGCTAAGATTTCGGCCGCTTGTTTCAATCAATATGGTCTGAAATGAATTATCTGCTCGCTTCAACTTTTTCCTTTGAACATCCCTTTAAGTCTCTATCACAATAAAACTCTTACCTTTAAAATGTTTAAATCCAACAAAATATAAAGTTGTTTATTTTTCCTTTGTAATGTCCTATTCATTTAAACCTCCGATTTTGAAGATTCCATAATAGTCTGCTCAGAATTATTCGTTCTACTACTATTTCCTATAGGAATAAATATAGTACGAATTATTCAAAAATCTTCTTCTTCAAGAATAGGACATTACCAACTTTATATTTTGTTGGATTTAAACATTTTAGGTAAGGAAAGTTTTATTGTGATAGAACTTAAAGGGATGTTCATTGAAGCGAGCAGATGAAATTGAAAACAAGCGGCAGGTATGGCACCTTGTCGTTTTTTAGTTCACATCTCGCTGAGATTACCTTGTTTCTGTAAAACAAAGTAAGGTATGCCCTTGCGCCGAAGCGATTTTGTTGATGTTTCTTATAAACTTGTGTAGTAGAGGTCGATGACGTCATAATATGACGTCATAAAGTGTACTGGCTATCGCATGTCGTGGGTACCAAGAATGTATAAGAAAACAAGTCTTAACATTTTCTGTGCGTACGTAGAGCAGTTATGGAATTTAATGGGATATTTTGCATAGAAACCTCCATATGTAGCCTTAACTCACTTGCGTAGGGAAATCTTTTAAAATCTTTTTCTCAAGTACTGCAAAACCATGATTAGTGATATCTATATGAAAGCATCCTCAGGTAGTGTACATTTTAGTTTGTTCAAATCATAATCCCAAGGGGTAGGGTGGGGCCACAATGGGAGATCCAAGTTTTACATTAAAATATATTTAAAAAATGTTCTTCTCAAGAATAGCAAAACCATGATTAGTGATGTTTTTATAGAAGCATCCTACACTAGTGTAGAGTTAAATTTGTTCAAGTCATAATCCACAAGGGTAGGGTGGAGTCTTAATGGTGGATTAATGTTTTACAATAGGAAAATAATCGGAAAAATCCAAAGAACATAAAAGCTATGTTAAGTCATATTGACAGGTAAGCATCTTCGTGTATTGAAGATTTATATTTGTTAAAATCATGATTCTTTGGTATAGGGAGGGAAACAACGGGGAATCAAATTGCAAAGTTATATATATGCTGTATTGATATAGAGGCATTCTTAATTAGTATTAAAATCCAAGCCCCACCTCAACACCCCCCCCGAAAACATTTCAATTCGATCTGATTTGTGCTTTTTCCTAGCCGATGTGCTCAGGTGAGCGGTGTAGCCCCTGTGTCTCTAGTTTTCTTATCTTTTAACCGGATCAGACAAATTCAAATTGTAAAAAATGTATTTGGAATAAAAATTATCTTGTTCTTTGCAGGCCAAAACCTATGTATTGATTTGGATGTTTCATATTTTCAAATCGGTATTTTTCGAATACCAATAAGAAAATCAAAAACTTCAGATACAATGCTCTTTACTTGTAAGAAGTCATTGAAAACAAGTAAATTAATTAAGTGTCGACACCTAAAAGCCTCAGAAATAAACCGGTCTACAGCTTTCAATAACGAGGTAGTCAACGACAATTAAGCTTTATGTCGATTAACGAACGGAAATTCTGTTCTACCTTATTAGTAGTTTTATATTCTGAAAAAAGAGGAGTTTACCATTAAAGTTTAATGTGGGAAAAAAGCTCGTAAATAACGTTTTGATGATTATAAAAAATCAATACCAGTCATTTTCGTCTGTGCTGTGTGCAAAATGTTTGCTTAACCATTTGAACATTTTAAACGTCTTTTCTGGAAGCACTAATCCATTTTCAACATTTAAACAATTTAGTATAAGTACTAAAAATAAAAGGGAATAAAAGTTTTGAATTTCATGGTTTATATCAGTCTGGGGCTTGAGGGGTTGGGTAAAAACCTCAAAATTATTGCAATCTTGGAAAAAAAAACCTCTTCGATGTCAAGCAGACAAATTATTGGCAGAAAATTTTGTCCTATATTTGACACTTATGGCCATAGAGCAGTGTGGGATCTTTTTCGGTCAATGACCTACTGCGAGACGGGACCTCGATCGATTTATACAGTCTCATCCGAAAGACTGTTCTCCATATCCCACAGTGGCATCGAACCCGCGACATAAGGTTCAACTCATAAACTTCATGACTCCAGAGCAGGCGCTGGAACCACTGCGTCACTCGAACCCACTATGAATCTGTTTGCAAAGATTTTAATGTATTTCAGGAATCTAGTACATGTATATCTATGGTAATTCAAATTCAGTTTTATTGTTAGGAACATTCAAAACATTTAAAATAGAAAAATAATTTGGATTGAAAGAGGTGAAGATAACATACAACAATCAAATTCAAAGAATTGTGGTCCCCCGCTTTCGGTGTCTTTGTGGGTGAGATGTTATTTTTTTTAAGACATATTGTGTGTAATATGAACATCCTATCATATGTCATTTATTCAGAAAGTAACATCGAAGTTGACTTTTTTAAGGATGAAAACCCTTATCCTGAACGTTAAAAAGTTTTGGTCTAAGTAAAAAGTTTTTTAAAAGTAGGTCAACTCCAAGGTCAAGATCAAAGGGTCAAAGTCGTTGATATCCAATGAAAGGTTTTCTCACAAGGATTACATATTTGAAGTATGAAAGCCCTAGCTCTTACTATTCAAAAGTTATGGTCAAGGTTAAAGTTTTTTCATAAGTACGTAAATCTTTAAGGTCAAGGTCAGAAGGTCAAAGTTGTTGATATCCAATGAAAGGACTTGCCACAAAGAATACATATATGAAATGTAAAAGTCCTAGTATCTACCGTTCAAAAGAAAAGTTGTGACAAAAGTTAAAGTTTTTTTAAAAAGTAGTTAAAACTCCAATGTCAAGGTCAAAGGGTAAAAGTTGTTGGTATCCAATGAAAGGTCTTCTCAAAAGGATTACATATTGGAAGTACGAAAGCCCTAGCCCTCACTGTTCGAAAGTTATGGTCAAGGTTAAAGTTTTTTATAAGTACGTAAATCTCCAAGGTCAAGGTCAAAACGTCGAGGTTGTTGGTATCCAATGATATATCTTGCCACAAGAAATAAATTTGTGAAATATAAAAGTCCTAGTATCTACTGTTAAAAGGTTGTGACCAGAGTTAAAGTTTTTAAAAGTAGTTAAAACTCCAGGGTCAAGGTCAAAGGGTAAAAGTTATTGGTATCCAATGAAAGGTCTTCTTACAAGGATTACATATGTGAAGTACGAAAGCCTAAGTCCTCACCGTTCAAAAGTAATGGTCAAGGTTAAAGTTTTTTCATAAGTACGTAAATCTCCAAGGTCAAGGTCAAAAGGTCAAGATTGTTGGTATCCAATGAAAGGTCTTGCCACAAACAATATATATGTGAAATATGAAAGTCAAAGGTCAAATTTGGTGGTACCCAAAGAAAGGTCTTGTCACAAGGAATACACATGTGAAATATGAAAGTCATAGCTCCACTAAATCAAAAGTTATGGGCAAGGTTAAAGTTTTTGTGACGGACAGACTGACGGACAGACGAATGAGATTTAATGTCCCCTCGCTTTCGCGAAAGCGGGGGACAATGATGGACCTCAAAAATCTAGAAGCAATACAAATATGTGAAGAAAGCATAAAACAAGGACCATTGGAAATCTACAGATGGGATCAGGGTCATTTGAGGAGAAAGAATCCCTTGTTGACAGGTCACTCCCGCTGTGAGTCCTATATATAGATCAGGTAGAAGGGACATTCCGTAGTCAAATTCTGTATAAATGCCTTAAAATCAAACTGTAAACCAAGTATTTTCCGCGGTACTTCACTATAGAATTCATCTGTGAATACTTACATTCGCGACTGACGCCACGTTCTACACAAATATACATGGGTGAATAATTAGTTGCTGACGAGAATATTCGAGAATAAAAGAAGTTGGCGAAATTTGCGGATACTTCTCACTTGCGAATAAAAGATTGTTTATAATACTACCTAATGAAAGGTTAAATATACTAACAAGGATCAGGTCATGAAATCAAAAATTTGCAGGCTTAAAACGATTTAAAAAAAAAATTCTTTTATTTTCAACTTAAGTCATCGAAGTAAGTCCTCCTTAGGGAAATATACGCTGAATTGCCACGAGCAGGGGGTAAGTCCAAATTCATCTGAATACACTTTTAAAATATAAAAAGACAAAGTAGTTATCTGCTTTGGAATCATCTCAAATTTTGTTCATCTAATAGATATCTAATTCTGTTTTCATATTCTGAAGTTTAAAAAGGAAGATAGATAGATATCCCTCAATGACGTGATGTGAGATTTCATCATCCATCTGATACCTTCAATCAATTCTGATTAAATATTACACTTTTTTTCTTTAATGACCCATCGCCTTGGCGTAAATTTCCTGATAATTAATAATATTTATAGAGCTATCAAGTAAATTCCAGTAAAATCGTGGTCAATTTGTCAAAATTGAAAAAATAATCATCACTCCGTTCTAAAATATTTACTACTCTTTAATGCTTTTTCGTCAATATATATAACAAATTTCAAAAGATATATGCATAAATATATGCATAAATAAACAAATTATGAGATGTTATTAATTGTATGGTGTTGTATCTTCTCACGGCATGCGGATGTTAACGTCAAAGTTTCTGAAACACCGTCATGTTTCTTCATTGCGAAAAGGCTGGATAAGTCCCACTTAAAGTTAGGAGCTTCATTGGTGCACATAACTGAGTTTCCCTTAATTTCTCCACAAACAGTCGAGGAACCAATATCACACACATATGGGACCTTCTGAAGATTAATTAGCAAGTTATGGACAGCATTTCATATCGACAGTCTACAATGAGAGCGTCTTTCGCTATTACCATAGCTGTTTGCCCGTATGTTTTGTTCTACCGGGGTACTCGACCAGAAGGATTTTGCTAAGAAAGCTCCCATTTCAATTTTACTCGTATACTAAATATCTGATGTTTTCACAGTATCTGAGGTCTCTTACTGCTTTACTACTATAAATCAAACTGAATTGCTCTCCAGTGTGACTCAACGTCATCAAGCGTCACTATTTTTGTATATTGTGTTTACCATTATCCAATTTAGAATGCTCGGGAATCTGCCATTAAATTATGCAAACGCCTTTAATCTAAAAAAAAAGACGACCCCATTGATGGTATTAAAAGGTACAATTTTTGCCCTAATCTTATCCATTTTAATACTGTTATTTCGAAATAATGCTCGTGTTTTCCCCAGTGAAAACCTGGTATTTTGATCGTACGTCGTATAACCTTACCCTCTGCACATTCATGCATTATAAAAGTTCTATTTTTGTCTGTATTTTATGAAAAGAAAATAAAGATTCATTTAAATATGATAAATAATTATTTGCTGAAAATTAAAGCTTACTGCGCCCATTATTTTCCGAGAAAAGAACCTTCTCTACGATTTTAATGGACATCCCTTGTACATGTAGTTTTAGGGTAAAGTAGTACATAAACACATTCGAGGATTATGTTTCAGAAAACAGATATTTAGGTATTGTAGAGTGCCTTTTAATCAAAATTTGGAAGCAATTGTCGATCATTTTCTTACCAATGAATAATTATCCTTCTCTTGGTCATCTATCGCTATTTGTACATTTTAAACTTCAAAGTCAAAAGACCCACTGATTTTGATATTTAACCTCTGGCTTCCAAAAATATGCTTGATTTGTTGGTATTATAATGTGCATCATCTCAATTGATTCAGGATGACCGGCGACGTTCATTGCTGTATGCAAAATTCAAAACTTCCAAAACGAGGCGATGTAGCAACAAACAAGTTGACCTAAGAAGTAGTCTTGTTTAAAGTCGTCGTATTGCAATTTGTATTGTCGACGCAATTTATTATTAAGTCGAATGTTTATCGACATTTGACATAAAACACACAGGAAGATGCTTACTGTTTTGGAGGTCCGTGTTTTTTCTGCTTCTGATTTATATTGTTCAATGGACTGTAGAGTTTGAATACTGTTCGATATCTCCAAATGTCATATAAGTAAGTATCAGCAAATCGCTTTTTATTATATCGCTATTTTCATGTCTTTTAAACTCCATAAAACCTATTTTAATTTTTTTGTTAGGAACTTATGAAGATTTAAATAGTAATAACGAAAGAAACAACAATACAGTTTACTTTTATTAATCTCACTGGCTGCCATTTATTACATTGAGATTCAAAATGTCTTTTAATGAGATCAATATTCATCCTTTACAAATCTCACCGGAAATGCTGCAATAAAAAGTTTGTTAAAAATATTTATCTCAATCTCATAACTAAACTCAATTTTTTTGTCTAGGGTTATACTTTACAAATACATCACTAATCACAGTACAGCAAAAAAGGGTTGAAAACTGTCATCAGTTGCAGAATTGAACCAAAACCTTGCATTACTAGAAATTTGTTGTCTAAATATATACAGACAAAGAGTATTTTCAAAATATGTAACTACACATATATCAACTGCACAATTATTTCACAGATACGTGTTATTTGAAAAAGAAAATCATTCCACGCAATGCTTTGCGGTGCTATGCTATGCTAGCAATTCGGAAATAGTTATCTACTTTGTGCAATGAAAATTGTCTAAAAATGTCTAAAAAACACTTATACCTCTTCAAATTTAAAAATGATGTCCTATCAACAAAAAGTATTACCATGGATTTAAATAAAACTAATTATTAACATTTGTTCTCCTATATTCATCAATTATTGCTTTATTCAATTTTGTTTAAATGAAAAAAATAAATAAATAAAGAATATAATTTTCAAAAAAAAATATATAGGACTCAATGAGACTAGATGGACCTATTCTAAAACTACATTGCATTTGTATAAAAAGATTTAATTATGTAAATATTTGTATTATGACTATCAGGTTAAGACAAGTTTAAGATTTTGAATACACATAATACTGAGTCATACGTATAATGAAGAAATTAAAAAAAAAAAATCAAAAAAAAAAGTTTTACTTCCTAAGAAACACTCTTGTAAAGTTTTATTTTCATATCTACATATTTCATCCAGTACATTTAAGAAGATGTTAGTGTAATTTCTTCTTCCGATATTAGGGTACTGTTTACGTGAATTGCATCAAGGTAACTCCTCGTTTGTGGCATCACTAGCCTGAAAAAAGAGGACTTAATAATGAGAAGAACGTTTGTATAGAAGTGCTTTGCATTTAAAAGTAAAATATACAGAACCATCCAGAGAAACCTAATTCAATGAATTCATATATCCCTTCGATACGTATTTTCCTAAAAGAATATTTAAATTCATTTACTCATACCTGATACCAGTAGTGTAATAGGTTATCGCGCACTATGTTGTGTTCCCCGTGATTTAATTCATAATATCGTGGGCATAATCTTTCATTAGTTTCAAGTTCTTTAACGTCTTCCTCTAATAGGAAACAATCTTCATCCTCTTCAGTAATCCTCATATCCTTACACACATAACCAACTTCGTACAAAGCTTTCTGATGAAAGGTCGTGGCAAGTCGCTGAATCATGGTTTCTATGTGCATTCTGATTGCCCTGGTTTTGTCTGCCCTAAGCTCAATGTCGCAACCAGGCGTAAATACTTGAAGGTGAATAGAGGTTTTGTTCACACCAATAGCTATGTTCCGATCCCCTCCTTTTTCTTTATAAAAAGCAAGATTTTTACAGAAAAGGTCATCACTTAAAGACTCCCATTTGGAAAAACACGTAACCACAAGTCTGTAAAAGAAGAAATGCGGGAGGTACGTTTTGAAAGAAAAAACTAAAATAGGAGTCTTGCTTCCTTTCCTAATTACCTCTTTGCATATTTCTGTAATGTCGGTTTTGTTTATACTAGGAATATAATAAACTGATTCTGTTTGATGATCAGATGGGACCTTTCCATGTTCTATTTTCTCGACAGTTTGTGTTCGAATTTTTGCAAGAATGCCAAGTTTTTCCATGTATGGCATAATTTTGTCTCTTTGAATAATATAGGATTCACTGTTATGTTTCGTCCAAACTTTGTGAAGCGTCGAATCGGAAATTCTGCCGGTTTTCATGAATACATTCCATTCCTTTACCTTTCTGCAGAATGGGCGAGCATGTGTTGGGTCTGTAATAATATTTTTGAATGCATCAACAAACCACTGAACATCCAGTATAACATTTTCTCTCAGACCATGATCTGAGAAATATATAATCTGTCCAATCTCTTGGTAAAATCTAAGCATATCATCAATGTCGTTTTCACCCATTGACTTGAATTCATCCATAGATTTTAATTCCTCCATAGCCACAATTTTCTTTTCTTTATTTGATCGGGCATAATGCTCAAATATTGACCATTGAACTGGTATTTTTTCACCCCAATGTGGTAGACTTTTTGCAGTTTGAACGATGCATTTTCTTACGTCTTCTATTGCCTTTGCTTGCTCTTCATGCAGACTCCCCTCTGGACACTCAATTTCGAAATAACGCTCATTAGAGATATGGTCTTTTAACGTGTGTTCCTTTGGCAAGCAACTTTCGAGTTTGTCGTAGAATGAATTGTATGATTCATCATCAGAATTTTTATGCTCTCTCTGCTGAAAATAATAGATTCATGAAGATCAATCACTATCTTTATTATCACCTTTACATTTTTAAATATCAAGGGCTCTTTTTTTCTGATGATTGGTCAACATTAAAAAATTTACTCAGTCTTAAAGGTAATTCATGGTAAATATAAATGCTTAGTTTGTTTATCCTTTTTTGTCTCATTGATGACTACCCACTCACAACGGATATCGCAGTTGATTCGATACGGAAGGGCATGTTCTACGTATAAACAATTTCTAAAACAAGGTAAGTTATTGACTAACAAGTTGATGAAGCAAGAATTTCAGCAGTCTCGCTTATGGTTCGTAAGTTCTTAAGTTCTATGGTCGAAACAATGACCTTGTCAGCAAACAATTTTTTATTTAGTCAAATATTGACTGACTTTTTTCATACTGATTGTTAGGCCATCATTTACACTCTGAGTTGTCCACAGATCATTCGTTGTCCTTCCGAACATGACAAGGAGCACGCTGTGAGTGTAACCGTTCGGTAAGGATGCCTACTCCTTGATAGCACCCGATCACACCTCTGATGTTTTGGAGGTCCGTGTTTGCTCTGTTCCTATTTTGTATTGTTTAATGGACTTTTTAGCTTGAATACTGTTCGTTATCTCCACATATTTCCTCATACTGCTTTCAGGGGATAAGCTATAAACTGAGTTATTTGTTTTTAACGTTTAGTTTCACCTTTAATCGGTCGTGATGAGAGGCTATAAGGATGACAGGATTTGGCTCAGCTTTGTCTCCGTATTTCTCTTCCATCCTCTCGTCGTCACAGTATGTCTTAATGGATCGAAGCCAGAACACGAAATAATCTGTCAATAGAGAAAACATTTTCTGTAGTTCTCGGAAAAATAACTATAAAAAAATAACTATAAAAATATACATTTTCCTGTAAGTTAATCAGGTTATTATTTTTGTTAGAAGATATGAACGTGATACTTTAAGAATAGGGCTGAAATCTCTGAATAGTTTAATACATGCATTTGGCCTAGAGCAAGAGTTACATAGGTAAGAGTGTTTGAAAAGCATGTAATCGCTTCAATTGCTCGCTGCGTGTAAATATCGGAACATGATAAAATACATTGTTATATTCCTTTTTGTAATTGTTATCAGATATATACACTATCTATGCATGTTTCCAACTTATAAATGTCCTTAAAGATAATGTGTTTGCCAAGAAAAAAAAACTCAAAATAGATCCTTTCACAGAATCTGGAATTGAAATCTCTCCTCTTGAAAGTAACTGTAATCAAAAAAAATAACGAACTATTGAAAATAACGAACAAAAATCAATCTGAACGAAAATACAAAAATCTGTGAATATTGCATAAAACGTGGCCCTCCTAGGTGGAATGGGGTGTCTAGACATCCCCTCTCGATGGACACATCCACTTAGAGTCCTTAGTAGTGATCAAAACATCGCAACAAAAATAAGAATTTAATTTAATTTTTCCTCTCAACAACGATATGAGGGTTATTCAGTTGAATATAACCAAAGTTCTTTCTTGTAAATGGAAATAGGGATACAGAATTCAATTGGGTTAATATGGCTTTTAATATGAGTAATTTCTCAAACCTTCGTATGTCCAGTTTTCAAATAAAGATCCCATCGGGTCATGGCGATCTTTTTGGTAAGCAACATCCCTTAAGTCCTTGGACATGTCGACAACCAGTATGTAGAAGGCTCTTCTAGAGAGGTAAATCTGATGACAGGCATAGTAGGCGACTTGTCCAGCAAAGTCCGTCATACTTAGGAGTTTCCTGTCCACGTGCAAATTGACGGGAGGACTTTCCTTGTCGCTTTTATGCTGAGCATCGTCGGGAACGTAATCTTAATACACAATACAATACGTCAATTAATTATCATTATTTTATTATTAACTTGACCTACTTTTTAAATATTACGTTCCAATTTAAATAAGCAGCCTAATTTCTACACAAATCTTTACCTTCAAGTGTATCTGAGTCTATCAGGAATATATTGTCATGAACTTCAAGCCCTATGGTGGTTTTCGTTTCTCTCTGAAGGTCGTTTCTGTCCCGGCGTTGTAAACGTCTGAGCAAAGTTGTCTTTCCTGCCCCCGCACATCCTACGATCATTCCACGAGCTCGGTACATTTCAATGTTACCGTCTTTAAAATGTTTAACGAATCTTTGCCTTTGATCAAGGTTCCATGACAACACTTCCTCTGGAATTTGCACTACAAAACGTGTGAAAAATACAAGGAATCAGAATGTTCAGAGTCATTCGTCAAGAACCAATTTAAAAGATATAGCATACATTTTTGCAGACTGTTTCTTATTAAGATGTAATTTTACCAGAATTTATAATTTTACTCTTCTTGCTATTCATTCCAAGATTAATGTAGGTATTTTGATTTTAATTATATAATACAACAAGAGGCCCACGGGCCTTATAGGTCACCTGAGTATTGTGTAACAACTTTCAAACAATTAAATTTGGTTCGTGTTTTAAACCAGAGGCTATGAAATTCACAATTCACAATTTTGAAAGAGGCACCATTGCTTATCATAATTAAAATACTCTAGACTACTTATTCAATACCCAGTGGTAGATCAGAGTTACAAAGAGAAAATGTTCTTCCACTTTATAACCAGTTGTGCACCTCACCCCAAAAGAACCACTGACCCTGGGGCCACATATTTCAAAATTTTGCAAATTTTATCATAAAATGGTTGATTAATACCAAAGAGCAGGTTTCGAGGCATTAATTTATTTTCAGACTATGTACCCCCCCCCCTCTCCTCAGGGCATAAAAATAACATTTTGCTAGATGCACCTTTCTTCATCATAAATATATATACTTGGATCATTGGCATAAATTTCGCAATTTTGGAAAAGGCACTCTTGCTCATCATAAATATGTGCTCAGTTAGTTTATTTAATACCCAGGAGCAGAGAAGAAAATTTTCAAAGAATAAATGCATTTTCACTATATAATCTATAGAGCCCCACCCTAACACCAGAACCCCTGACCCTGGGGCCATAAAATTCACAAATCTGAAAGAGGCACTCTTGCTCATCATAACTATGTACTTAGTTAGTTAATTTAATACCCAGGAGCAGAGAAGAAGATTTTCAAAGAATAAATGCAATTTCACTATATAATCTATAGAGCCCCGCCTTAACACCAGAACCCCTGACCCTGGGGCCATAAAATTCACAAATCTGGAAGAGGCACTCTTGCTCATCATAACTATGTACTTAGTTAGTTAATTTAATACCCAGTAGCAGAGAAGAAGATTTTCAAAGAATAAATGCAATTTCACTATATAATCTATAGAGCCCCGCCTTAACACCAGAACCCCTGACCCTGGGGCCATAAAATTCACAAATCTGGAAGAGGCACTCTTGCTCATCATAACTATGTACTTAGTTAGTTTATTTAATACCCAGAAGCAGATAAGAAGATTTTCAAAGAATAAATGCATTTTCACTATTATCTATAGAGCCCCGCCCTAACACCAGAACCCCTGACCCTGGGGCACTAAAATTCACAAATCTGAAAGAGGCACTCTTGCTCATCATAACCATGTACTTAGTTAGTTTATTTAATACCCAGAAGCAGAGAAGAAGATTTTCAAAGAATAAATGCATTTTCACTATATAATCTATAGAGCCCCGCCCTAACACCAGAACCCCTGACCCTGGGGCCATAAAATTCACAAATCTGGAAGAGGCACTCTTGCTCATCATAACTATGTACTTAGTTAGTTTATTTAATACCCAGAAGCAGAGAAGAAGATTTTCAAAGAATAAATGCATTTTCACTATATAATCTATAGAGCCCCGCCCTAACACCAGAACCCCTGACCCTGGGGCCATAAAATTCAAAAATCTGGAAGAGGCACTCTTGCTAATCATAACTATGTACTTAGATAGTTTATTTAATACCCAGGAGCAGAGAAGAAGATTTTCAAAGAAATAATGCATTTTCACTATACAATCTATATAGCCCCGCCCTAGCACTAGAACCCCTGACCCTGGGGCCATGAATTTCACAATTTTGGTAGAGGACTCAATGCTTATTACATTCATGCTAACAGTTTGCCTGCTCAATGTCCATGAGTAAAGAAGAAGATTTTTAAAGATTGCAATAATTTTAGTGGTTTTGGCCCCACCCCTTAGGCCCCAGGGGGGCGGGGACCATGAAATTCACAATTTTTGTTCTCCTTTACCCATAGATGCTGTATACCAAATTTGGTTGAAATTGGTTCAGTGGTTTCAGAAAAGAAGCTGAAAATGTTCAAATGTTAACACACGACACACGACGCACGACGCACGACACACGACGCACGACGACGGACGAAAACGGATAGCAATAGGTCACCTGAGTTACTCAGGTGACCTAAAAACTCTATGTTTATACATACACATGTTACTAATGTCTGTATGGTTTTTTGTATCACTCATAGTTTTATGAGTTAGAATATCTATATCCATTCTTTTGATTAGATCTGCATTATACTCTGGTGGGACGCAAATGCACAGTTCCTTTTCCTGGGGTTCATATCCCGATGTTCTGAAATACTTCCCTAAACAGTCAGGAGCCTTGTCTCCAGCAATAAACGTATAATACATGACACACTCTGCTAGGGTGCTCTGTCTTTGACTGAATACATCTGAAAAAAAATTAAATTAACAGGAAAAGGTACTGTTTTAGCTGATATTGTGAAATCTTGTAGTGAGAAAAAAAAACGTTTTATTAAGTCTCATGACAAATTGGATCTGAAGTAATTAAATAAATCTATTCATTTTTGTGCAAAAATGTCAGGTAAAGAATTGATTGATTAATTGTATATTGTTTAACGTCCTTCTCGAGAATTTTCACTCATATGGAGACGTCACCACTTGCCGATGGAGAGCTGCACATATTGTCCTGTACTAGGCACTCAGAGCCATTGAGCGGATGAAGAACAGTTAAAAATTCGTAGAAATCCAAAGTGCTTTACTATTGACAGGATTTCAAATGCAAATATAAAACCTTAAATAAAAAACTCACATCCTTCTTTTTTCATTTCCAGGAGGTCTAATCTGTGTTTTTCAGACATCTGTCCTACTCCAGAGTCTTCAATAAATTGCTGAATCAGAAATTCTCTGAACTCGTCACAAAGCATTTTAGGTAGAACAACGCAGGTCTCATCATTTTGTATTTCATAATCAGATGTTCTCAGATACTTTAGAACAATGTCTCTTTTCTCATGGTCAAACAACCAAATAATTGTTCCTTTTGTATTGTGATTTTGCATGAGAGCCCACATTGTTTGCAATTCTATTTCTTCGTTTAGAAAAGATACTCCTTCTTCATCGACTAGTAAACTTGAGCTAGAAAATTTATCAGCAGCATCCTTAAAATCAGGGATTGATATTGGTTGTTTATGTTTCATTAGCTTCTTTATGTCATCTAATAATTTCAGGTGAGCCTCGTTTTTCCATTTTATCCTCTGGCCTTCACTTAAAAGGACACCGAAGAGCAAAAGACGTCGGATGTCGTTATCTTCAAAATTGCTGAATGTGTCTAAAATTGACAGAAAAAGACTTTCACAGGCCTGTGCAACTAAAAAATCATCATATGAAAATAAAAACATAGCAATTTCATTTCTTTTGAGATTGAAATACTTAAATCAGTGTTTAATTGATTTTTTTGATGCACTTTCTGCTTTCCAAATAAATTTAAACAATTACTCGTCCAAAACGTACCCAGTGTACAATTTTTTGTAGAGGCTTCACACTTTGTTATCACAAGGTGGTAAGTTCTGTCTTTGGGAAAAATGGGGAAAATTATGTTTTTCATTTTGTCAACTCTTTGTGATATGGTCTTGTCTTTTTCAACTTTGATGTTTGGTCCAATGAGTTTAAGAACTTCTAAACCTATGGAGAATTAATAAAAAGGGACAACAAACCAAAACTACGAGGGGTGATCAAAAAATTCGCAAACTATATATTTAAAAAACCACAATTTAGATTGGAAAAATAATAAGTACACACATAGCCATACACAAGTTCTATAAATAGCATATGCTGAATAAAGTTTGCTCCCTGTTTGTGAAGTCACAATGTGAAAATAACGTCACTATGTAGGTCACTTGTGACGAAAAATGATCGTCTCAGTCGTGCTCGTTCAACGAACGACTGTAAAAATTAATGGTATATCTTAAAAATCCATTTGAAGCTGCGTATAATAATTTGTACACAGTTCATTTAGGCAAATGACTTCCTATAAATTCAATCAATAATTGGATTGATCGTTTTAGTGAAGGAAGACATATGATTAGAAATGATACTTGTTATGTTGTCCAGTGAAAGCAAAATTGAAAAGAGATGTGTTTTTAATTAAGCAATTAGCTATCAAAGACGTCCAATTTACACTTTGAACAATAGCTGAATATTTGAACAATAATATAGTTATTGAATACCTAAGATATTGTTTACTTTAGATTTTAAACATATTAGATATGATAAAAAGGAGGCACCCATTCTCTATCCACCTTGAATAAACGTTTCTCCCGAGACAGAATATTTGGGTTTTGATGGTCGCCATGCTTATTTTTGGAAAGGATATTCTTATCCACCCAATCTGTTTGCCGAGATTTGCCTATTTCTGACAAATGAACCGTTCTTGAAATAAAATTAACTTACATGGAGAGAAATATAAAACTCCGAAAAATATTTCAGCTTTTGTGACAGAACGCTACGGAGGGGGTCACGTGACCGCCTATATCACGTGATTCGCGCATGAGTAGAACGGTGGCAAATGTGCATTAAAATCGGAGAGGACTAATTTAAAATATAATCAACACTGAAATCAAATATTGTTTCTTTTATGGAAGTTATCCAATTAGTTCGCGAATTTTTTGATCACCCCTTGTACATTCCAACATCCAGTGTATGTTTTTCAAACAGAATTCCTAAATCTGAGGAATGTTTACAATGTAATGCATACTGAGTATTCTAACATGCCTTATATATTAAAATTCATGCTAAAGGTCATATAAAGCTAAAATCTGAAGTACAATGTATCTTTTTGAACTTAATTTTAATATATACATCTTTAGACAACGAAAGGCAGAAAAGAACATTTCTGTTCAGTTCTTAGATAATAAACATACCGATTGTCATTTAATTCAATATGATTTTATAATCATTAAGGATAAGAATGTTGCATTTGCGGAGAATATAAAAATAAATTGTCGTTAAGTTAAGGCTAACCAATATGCTCGATGTGATCATGCTTATTGAGAAAATTTTGCTCTGGCGTGAAATCGTTTACTCACTAATTTTGACCTCGGAGCTTTCACACCTTAAGGTGATTCCATCTTCGACTTCCGTCCAGGAGGCTTTGTAGGAACCAGAGTCATTCTGATCAGATTCCAAAATGTAAAGAAAGAAATGTTTATCATCTTCGTCTTTTCCTACTACAGAGAGGTATTTGTTTGGATTATCAGAACATCTAATTGTCTTTCCGTGTTTAAACCACGTGACTTCTGACGGTGGATGATTTGTAGTCACACGTATACGTATGTCGTTACCATACTGTCTCAACAACATCTCGACTACCTCCCTTTTTCTCTCTGTATCTTGACAAAAACAATGAAGAAAATTAATGTAAAAATAAAGCCCTTATAGTATCTTATGAATATTTTATAAATATTTTACAAAAAGTTAACACCAAGCAATAGCATTGACAACGTGCTGCTTAACACTGTTCGACCTTTTAAAAAAGGGTAATACTTTTGCATTTATTCTTGTACATATATATATATATATATATATATATATATATATATATATATATATATATATATATATATATATATATATATATATATATATATATATATATATATATATATATATATATCACGGGAAACAGCTATATTGCCCTTCCGAACACAATTATATTCGCTCCCGTGCAATCATTCTGCAAATTACATTGCAATTAAGTCGGGTACGAAATTTACAGAGGTAGTTGCTAAGGAAACGTAAACAGTTCTGCGAAAATTAAAATATCCTAACAAAGTCTACTAGGATTTAATCATTTAAATTCAGCGGAACTAGATAGTTTGATTGAGGAGAAAAATTCAGTAAACACAACAAAGTTATGAACTCAAAAGTCAGCGCTAGTGTGCTGAAAACAATCTTCAATGAAACAAGACGGACTTTATCAGGATTATTTATAACAAACAGATAATTAACGAACAGTATTCAAGCCCAGAGGTCCATCAAACAATACAAAATTGAAGCAGAGCAAACATCGACCTCCAAAATATCAGAGGTGGGATAAGGTGCCAGGGAGGAATATAAAATATATGATAGAGATAAACAAAAATCATGTGAAACTGTATCGTTTTCTTTTACAGCGAAGTTGTACACCTACCTCGCTTTCTCTGATACAAAGTTTTGTCCCCCTTTTTCCATGATACATCTGAAAATATAAGCCATCCAATGTGTAGAAAAAATATTATACCATTACTAGTATTTAGAAATAAATGCCATTTTTACACCATTTCCTAACCTTTCTTGAGTTCTACACCTTCTTCTTTCCAAAAAGCTGTATAAACCCCAGAATCCAGATTTGTTGTGTTGAAAACATACAAATATATATGTTTTTCTTTAACATGTCCGTGGCTGATAGAAATATATTTCTCCGAATCTGAAGTCTGTATGTCCTGTCCATCTTTCTGCCATCGGACGGTATCATCATCTGGAGTGCGATGTATGCTGAATCGAATATGCAAATTTTCTCCGTCCTCTTGCACTGGAAAAATTGTATTATTGTAGTCTACTCTTAGTCCATTATTTACACACTAAATTGACAACAGACCTTTTCCGTTATTTCCCGATGGTGACAAGGAGCACTACGGGTATGACCGATCGGCAGGAGCTGCTCACTCCTCCATGGCACCTGATCCCACCTCTAATGTTTTTGAGGTTTGTGTTTGCTCTACCACTATTCTGTATTGTTTTTGGACTTTTGATCTTAAACACCGTTCGTTATCTCCATATGTTTCATCCAGGAACTTGAACGTAAAATCAAAAGTTTATATTTTAGTGAGGTGCTAGTTGATTAAAGATGTATAATACTGGACCGTGCAATGCATCTCTTTTCGTCGCGACGAAGTTTAAAATAAAAATATTTATTGGATTTTCTATAAATATGGCAAATACAAAATTAATATTTATTTAAAAAATTTCAATTTTCAATTTCTTACCTTCACCATCAGAATGCTGCCTATGATGACGTGGCCAATGCGCCTCTGAATTAGGGTACACTTTGAAATAAAATAAAATGTGTAATTATTTTTCTGTAAACTCATAAACTTGCATGGCTGAATTTTACCTATTATACTGCGTTGTAGTTATTTGACTATCAAAATTTTGCATAAGACTAA